CCCTTGTGTCATCGAGTCAGCCGTGCTCTTCTCTGTCTGACAAATAAACCGTGGCCCAAATGCAGTCATACAACAGGACAATGAACTGAATCAACGACTTGTGATTGACAAATTGTTCACCTATGAGTTAGTCACATCAACCTCTTATTCACCGCATCCAGTTTCCAAACACAAAGACTGTAACGGCGAGAACATTCGTTTTAAGGCTTCAAAATCAGACCAATGAAGACGTATTTGACAGCAGATCGGTGGGCTTTCTGGGCCTCAGATGGTCTTACTAGGAATTCCCACTCTCACTGACATCATACAGAGCCAAAAGTACAAAAAACTGTCTCAGCAGAGTGTTTACAGCGACCTGAAGCCTGACCCTTTTGCTCACAGGGATTACATTCATGAAGTAACTGCAACACTGACCAAGAACTCAACAATGATACAAAACAGTACATTTTGCTTGCAGCCATGTGACTGTCACAAGCATGTTTTGACTATGTTTATGTCTCACGGATAAAGCGACGGGTTTCTTCCATGAATCTTTTCTATTGTGTACATCCTCCCATGTTAGTGAGCCATACAGCTAACACTAAAATTTTTCCATGACATGACTCACAACAATGTTTGTAGATTTCTTTCAGTAAGTGGGTAATCATTTTGGACATTTTTGCTGACTTTCAAATGTATTTTTTAACACTGTGAACCCCAAAAAGAAAACACTATTGATTTAAATTATACTCAAGGAAAGGCGGACATCTCCAAAACTGGGTAAGTCACACCAAAGCAATCTAGATGGATAAACAGCTAAACAGCACAAGGCAGAGGAAAAATATGTAAATTACATTCTTTAAATTAAACTGTCTCCTTAGGGTGAGATATAATCCTACTGGGAATAAAGGGCCTAACATCTCTCTAACATCTTACAGGCTTGAGGACAAATGTTATAGTTCCCATCAAGGCAATGATTTATTTCTGAATATTTTATGCAAATAAAAAATTAGAATTAGAATTTTTTATTTGAAAAATGACATATTTGAATATTTGAAGCATTAATTCTAAAAACATTTGAGCTTCAAAACTACTGAGCGTTTAAAAAGAGAGAATTGTTATTGTAATAAAACCTCTGGGGAGTTGACACTTTTTATTTAGCTGAAGAATTTGAGGTACATCAAGAAGAGGCCTTTAAAAACAAACAAAAAAACAACCTCTAAAATTCATAAACCATGTTAAATCAATTTTAAAATATCCAGACTGTGCAGGAAACTGTGAGGTTCAGTTTATGTGCACCTGTCAGTACATTTGTTCTGCTGTAAGCGAGCCCTCCATTATCATTATTCTCATATGCACATTTGCAAATGCATAACACGATAAAAAAAAACAACATATTAATAAATAATCAGTACCACATCATGTAAGATACAAAAGCTAGAGTTTTATTATGAGTGACAAAAAGCTGTTTCTTGTGCTATTACTGAGAGATTCAGGGCACCAAAACCTTTCTGCTTCACAGATTGGCTGTAGTGCAGATGGCAGAGCAGGTCACCTACTGATTGGAAGGTTGGTGGTTTGATTCCAGTCTGCGTGCCAAACACCCTTGAACAAAAGACTAACCCCAAGTTCCCCTCTGGTGTGCCCACCAGAGTGTGGATGGTAGATAGAAAGAGGTAGGCTGTATAAAGTGTTTTTGCTGAGTAGAAAAGTCCTTTTGGGAGGGGGAATTCAAAGCTTTGGAATAACAATTTTCAAAGCCAAATCTTACATTTTCTAAAAGCTTAACTGCTGTTTTCTATGCTTCAGTGCTTTCCCCAGCATTCCCATACACACACACACTCTGGTGGATGCATCAGGGGTAACTCGAGGTTCAGTATTTTGCCCAAGAATATTTTGACACAGGGATCTGAGAAGTAAACGTCCTGCTCTACCTCCTGAGCCACAGATGCCCCCACATCTATAACACATCAGGTACAGATTACATAGATTAGAGTACAACCACAGAGGCCTGTAATAAAGACACGATCACTTTGTCTCAGTACGTTCAACACATTTATTTGAGCAAATGTATCAAATTATTAGTTTCAGTTTTACATCAACAAAATAAAATTTTCACAGTATACACTTTGAAAAGAAAAGAAAAAGGCAAAAAGAGGAAAAAAAGGAATTATACAGATGCCAAATTTTCAGGTTAACATCATCATCTGGCAAACTATTGTCTAGACAACAGATTTACAAGGGGAGCGGTCTGAATCATTCGCCCGTCAATCCAAGTTGAAGGAACAAAATGAAAGAGAAAAGGACAGATGGCAGCAATTCTTCCTCCTCAATGAGGCCAAAATCCAAAATCCAAACCAGCAAGTGGCTGAAAGTCCCTCTGAATGAGTTCAGTGTAGATCATAACAAGTCTGACAGGCTTCTGGGGTTTTAATCAGTGTTAGCACTCTTCACTC